ATATCAAGTTCAGTATCAGCTGGGCTACACAGCTAAGTCCTGCCTTACATGCCAAGCATACAAAAGGTTATAATAAATAAATTTGTATGACCTTCTGGTTTTAACCTGCCTTAGCTATGACCTCCCCTCTGTAGGTTAGACATGTCCCATTTTCTTTGCATTCTATTTTCCTCTTCCCCCTTCCTTCCTTTTTATTTGTAGGGCAGAGGTTATTCATCATCTTGAATCATTGAACAGTGTGATCTGTGCAACAAGTTATGTTATGATATAAACATGGATAGGTTTGAAGAAGGCTAATGCCAGCAATGGTTGCAAAAACAGATGAGCTGTTAAAAAGAAGTTTCATGTGCTCTGTGTTTGCAATTTTTGGTCTACTACCTTGCCCTGCTGAGCCCAAGGTATCCATCTTTATATGAGGATGGACCTGAGATAAGTAAATGACATCGTGTCCCCATAACAGAAATGCCAAGGGAAATTTCACAAAGCAAAATGAGGGTTTGACATTTAAATTAGGCATGTGCTGCCAAGCTGTAGGGTGAAAGTAAAACTTCGCCTAGAGAGGATTTCTCAAAACCATCCCCATTTCTCAGGGAAATAAAGGGAAGGAAGATGAGTGGCCTTGGTCAAATCTCTCTGGAAAAGGATCCAGAGGAAGGAGCATGCTGGGAAGTAGACAGTGCTGGGGGTATTGGCATTTACCCCAACTGTATGTTTTGAGTTTGGGGTTGGGATAGTCTTGTAGGCTGCTTCCTCTCAAAGCTGGGGCAGTAGGGTCACCACAGGGAGGGGCCAAGGTTTCATTTGTGTGAGTTAATCCTGCTTTCGCAGCTGGACAGATGGAAATTAGAATTTCCTTCCCTTTCTTGGTATTGATTTGAGGAGGGACACAGGCAAGTGGGTGAATGGATAAAAGAGGGAGTGATTGTGACTCATTAGGCCTTCCCTGACTGTGAGAGCCTGGGAGGTCAGGTCAGTGAGGAGGAAGTGCCTGAGCAAGGGCAATGAGAACTGTATTTTGACCAGATGCAGGAGATTTTAGTGGAAGGCACACATCCACTTTCCTTAGTAACAAGTCAGAGGACCTGCTTTAGGGTCTTGGTGGTGCACACACTGGTTCATGGAATGGTGGATAAGACCCCTGCCTTCTGTTTCTCTAACACAGTTCTCATCAAGGAAGTGTTCATTTCATAAAAAGCAAGAGCAAAACTAACCAGGACAAATCGCAGAAACACACTAAACTCATTACTCCAGAACATGTATTTCTTCAGTGTTCCCAAGTCATCTCTAAATGTTTACAAACATAAATCTCTCTAGTTCTAATTTCTTTAATACGTGTGTATAATTTTATACTTTCTGGTTCAGTCTGCTATTTTTTCTTGTTCTACCTTTTCTCCTCCTGTTATCTCCCCAGGAAGAGTGTTATTTACCTGGTATGTCCCCATATTGCTAACATACATCCATATGACTATGTAAGTGGGCATGCTACATATATACACACATTTAGACTCAGGTACACACATAGCTACATTAAACTTCATTTCCATCATAAAAAGTCAGTATACCTGTATTCTGCATCTCTTTTTAAAATTTATTTTATGTGTACGAGTGTTTCGCTTACATGCATGGCCATGTACCATGTGCACACCTAATGCCTGAGAAGTTAGAGCCCCTGGAACTGGAGTTACAAATGGTTGTGAACTGCCATGTAAGTGCTGGGAATTGAGTCTAGGTACTCTGGAAGATCATCCAGTGCTCATAACCATCTCTCCAGCCCCACCTTATCTTTTGTGCCCACAACCACCTCTTGGACACCCTCCACTTCAACGACATAACTCCTGCTCACCTCAAGCAGCTTTAATAGCCTACAGTGTAGGTGTACTACAGCTCACTCTGTCTTGACCATTCCCTTTCCCTTAACTTTCGGATATGGTGACTATTTGGCCACTGTCATTAGAAGGCTTATTCTATGTTCTATATTACAAGTCTAGCAATTAAGTTTTATTAACCTACTGGTATTAATGTTCCTAGGTTAGCCATTTTAATATTTATTATGTGTGTGAGGGTGGTGTGAGTTTTCCACCAAGTGTGTTTGGAGGTCTGATGACGATTTGCAGGACTAGGTCTCAATCGTGTGCGTTCTGGGGATTGAACTCATGTTATCTGACTTTGTGGCAAGAGCCTTTGCCCTCTGAGGCACCTTGCTGGCTCATTAGATGTTTTAAAATTACCCCGCCCAATGTGTTTTGCATCCATGTGAGTGTGTGGGGCCGCGTGCCCATGAGCATACATTTAAAGGCCTGATTAGCTTCTGGGTGTTTTTTTCTATCACTTTCTACCTTATTCCCTTCAGAGAGTGTCAGTCATTGAAGTGGGAGCTCACTGCTTCAGCTAGGCTTTCTGCTGAGTAACTTCCTCACTCCCCTGTCTCCTCCAACTCTGGGGTTATAGGCACGCACAGCCATGCACAGTTTTCTCATATGTGTTTCAGGCATTCAAATTCGGCTTCTCATGCTCAAGGAGCAAGCACTCTCACCTACTGGCCTACATCCCTATCCTATTCCTAGATTTTTTTCTTTTTCTTATTTCTAATTACACCCAAGCTGTCTTTCTCCTTTTCCCACCACAGTCATTGTCTTATAACCAGTTTTGCCTGAGACTCACTGTATAGCCCAGGCTATCTTTTAGCAGTTCCCCTGTCTCTGTGTTTCAGTTTCATTTCTGTGACTGTGACAAAAATACCATGACAAAAACTGTAACTTAGGGGTAAGAAGTTTTATTTCAGCTTATAGTTGCTGTTATAGTCCATCCTTGTGGGGAAGCCAAGGAAGAACTCCAGGCAGCCAGTCATATCACATTCTCAATAAAGAGCCGGGCGTTGGTGGCGCACGCCTTTAATCCCAGCACTTGGGAGGCAGAGGCAGGCAGATCTCTGTGAGTTCGAGGCCAGCCTGTTCTACAGAGCGAGTTCCAGGACAGCCTCCAAAGCCACAGAGAAACCCTGTCTCGAAAAACCAAAAAAAAAAAAAAAAAAAAACAAAAAACCAAAAACAAACAAACAAACAAAAAAAAACCATTCTCAATAAAGAGCAAAGAGAAAACACGTGTGTTTGCTGAACTGCCTCTGCTCAGCTGAGCTCTCTCTCTCTCCACTCTTAAACAGTCCCTGGCACATGTCTAGGAACTGCTGCTGCCCACCATTGACTGGTCTTCCTACATATTATTACTTTTTCAAGACAGGGTTTCTTTGTGTAGCCTTGGCTGTACTGGAACTCACTCTGTAGACCAGCCCGGCCTCAAACTCACAGAGATCCACCTGCCTCTGCCTCCCAAGTGCTGGGATTAAAGGCTTCAGGCCCTACACATTATTGTTGGGCCCCAACCCCATGGGGTCTCTGTGAGTTGCTGGTCAGCCTACAAGTGCAACTTGTTTTCCAGTCCAAGTGCTTTCTGTTTTCTAGTCCTGGCTTACTGCCCTGGCCTTGACCCTCTGACATCAACATTCAGCAGGAGGAAAACAACAATCTCTTCTACCTGGGTTTTTCTCCACTGTGCTGTAAACTTGTATAAAAAGCTCCTCCCTCCTACAAGGGAGAGACCTGTTAGCACTTGCAATAAAGACACACACACACTCTCTCTCCTGGCAATAAAGGCAACACATGCATTCTATTAGTACAAACAGCTGGACGTCTGGTCTTTCTTTCCCTGATACCTTGGAGTTGCTTGTGGCGCTGGCGCCACGCATTATCTTAATTAAGACAATCTCTTCACACCACTCTCCCATGCCCAGAGACCCACCTGATCTAGGCTGTCTCAGGTGACTCTAAGTCGAGTAAAATTGACACTCAAAAATAACCACATTCGGCCTTTCAAATGCTGGCATTCTAGGTGTTAGCCTCAAGTATGATCCTTTATTTCAGGGCTAATACTTTTTGGTTAATGTGAATGCTATAGGATGGCATTGTAGGTAATTATTCACCAAATACATTATAAGCTTCACATTAGGGGTTCATTAGGAAACTCTTTACTAGAACCTATGCTGTTTTCCTTGGATGCATTAAAAATGGACCCAAATTAGGAAGATGGAGAAATCTATTTGAAGTAATCGACCGTTGGAAGATGGGATTAATCTTCAGAAGGCAATACCATTTTATGGTATTATTAAAGTTTTCATGGTAGTGGTTGCATTAAGTATTTTACAGTACTGTATTTGTCCATATCTACATTTTAGATATTAACAAAACACATTAGTATCTTATCATCAGGTTCCCCACAGTCTCTCAAACAATTCACTTATGCCCCAAAGACAGGAGTTTTGGAGCTGACCACTAATCGAGAGGACTCTTAATTATATGTAAATCTAAAATTTTAAAAAGACACACGTAACATATATGCATACGTGTGTGTGTGTGTACCTATTTAAATTCTCATTTAATTTTTTTCAACCTTTTGGGGTTTTTTAACATAGTTGGCTGAACCAGGTGAACTCTCTGCCACTGAGATATTGAGATATAGCCCCAGCCTAAAGTGTATACCAGGTGTTACCATTGAGATAAAGTGCACACACACACTAGTTTTCCAAGTGTTTTATGCCATGCTAGCCAAATGTGAGAAAAGTCCTTATAGCTTAGCTGAGTTAACATGGTGACAGATTACAAATCACTTCCTCTACCATTTTAACCACAGGAAGAGGAGTCTGTTAGTTTGTTATATTTGCTTTAATATCTGACTGTGACTCTATTATTACAAACAAAAGTGAAACACACTCATCCACTCTCATGAACTTTTGGCTATTAAAAACAAATACACAATAAAAAACCTTTCTCCCAAGCTTAAGCTTAAAGTCAGATACGACGGCACAGCCGTTTGCTGATGTTGAGGGTGAGCCTTCAGCTGTGCAGGGAATATATAATGTGTGATGGCTGAGGCTGATAGTTTTAAAAGAAAAATCGACTTGCTTGTAAGGAGGAAGTAAAACCAGAGAGCGTCCAGCGCTGTCTGTGCTGTCATTCACCTCTGGATAGAAACCGTGCCATTCTTAACACACTGCCAAGAACCTTACAAGTCTCAGCAGCGCTGGCAAAGCTAACGGTGTGGAGAGAGGCGGACAGCCCTTCAATTGAGGCGCTGAGTCACCTCCTCTGCTCTCTGAATGTTTTTCTACTCATGGGATCTCATCTCCAAGGGCAGAGAGGAAGGTGAAGCCCAGACAGCTGTGGTGAGAGGTTTGGTGTGAGGGAACACTCTCCACCACCCACTCAGGCCTAGCCAGTGTGGGCTGAGTTCCGCCTGGCTCTCCCTAACCTCCGGCTGACTCACCCCGTGCTTGCTACCTAGTCATATCTCCCGTCTCTGCTGTGCTGTTTGTTTCACAGGCAGAGCCAGCCCCCTGCCTCTCCAGCACTGGAAAACGCCAGAGGCTTCTTGGGGTCCCCCAGTGCTGGAAGGAGAGAGCATCCTGACCACCCCCACTTCTTCCTGGGCTTGGTTGATGATGGCATTTAAATCCCAGGGAGAAATGTCTTGTGGTCAAGTCCAAGTGGTTGTAGATTTCCTGTTTTTCAGATGTGTCCTCTCTACCCAGCTAAGTTCATTCCTCTGATTGTCTGTGATTGTCCTGTCTAGAGGCCATACCTTTTGAATCTCAGAATTGTACTCAAGCAGATCTCCATTGATAGGGAGTAGACATGGACTGCCCGCTTCAACATGTCCACCCTGAACTCATCCAGGTGTTTCGTCCTCCAAGTGCTCAAGATAATGGTATAACGAGGTCAGAAACTTCATTTTACTACCATATTTATAAATGACAGCTGTGGGAAATCATTAGATTAGATTAGATAATAAGTGGGGAGAGCTGGGATCGAATCCTGGTGGTAGTACTGGAAGAAATAGGAAAAAGACTGCAGAGATGCATTCACATCCTTTTTAAAATTATATTTATGTATTATTATTATTTATTTGTGTGTGTGTGTGTGTGTGTGTGTGTGTGTGTGTGTACACCATAACAAGAAAACTGACAAGCTCAACTAACCTGGGCTCCTAGGGGCTCACAGAGACTGAACTGACAACCAGAGAGCCTGCATGGGACTGACTGACCTAGGCCTCTGCATATAAGTAACAGCTGTGTAGCTTAACTTTCTTGTGGGACTCATAAGAGTGGGAGCAGGGGCTGTCTCTGACTCTGTGGCCCTGGGCCCTTTCCTTGTACTGAACTGCCTCATTCAGCCTTAACAGGAGAGGAGATGCCTAGTCTTCCTGCAATCTGATATACCATAGCTGGTTGATACACATGGGAGGCAGGCCCTTTTCTGAAGAGAAACAGAGGAGGAGGAGATTGGGGACGGGGGATAGGGGACAGGGGCTGGGAGAAGACGAGGGAGGGGAAAGCTACAGTTCGGGATGTAAGAACAACAACAAGACCATCAACAACAAAATGTTTGGGGATACACTTCAGTGTTGCGATGCTTGCTGAGCATAGTCTAGGCTCTAGGTTTGAACTCCAACACTACAGGAAAAGGAAGGGAGATAAAAACAAACCTTCCTTGTGGATGACTGAGTTATCTTCTCAGCAGGGCTATTCAGTGTTACCTGCTACTGCTGGAGGAACTAGTGAACAACTTTCCAGTGAGCCTTTACTCGTGACTTAAGTTGGTCAGAGCTGGGTTCTATACAGAAGAAATGCTATCCGTGGATTTTTTACACCCTATATATTTTTAAAAATTATATGTAAGAAGTCTATTTAACACATTTGCTGTTCCATTCACCATTAACCCCAACATAGCTTTTATCATCTTACTGTCAAATTGACATGAGAGCTCTCTTTGAAGAACACTGATCTATGCTGCAGTCCTCTGCTTCAACATGTTAGTCATGATATTTCAAACACTTAGGATATATAAACCTGCTTTTCAAAATCTACACTGACAGATGAAGGCTAGATGGAAAGGGAGATATTGTGACCATCAAACTATATTTAATATCACAAATAGGGATACGTTTAAAAGAACATTAATAATATTCTTCTATTAACCGCAGTCTGACTTCTATAGACATTATTCAGGCTGAGTACTGTATTTCTCAGCAGCCTGGTTTATGAATCCGCATGGCTGTATCACACAGCTCTCATGCTGAGGCATGGCAATGAAGACAAAATGACAACTTGAGTTTGTGTGGCTGTTAAGATCCTGGGAGTCTGCATGAAATATTGGTTCAAAGTCAAACTCCAACTGTTTGCTCTCCTTTTGAACCCGTTATTCAGTCCTTCTGGGCTTTTGATTTCTTATCCAGACAGTGAAAAATCATGAGGAGTGGAGACCTCAAAGGACTATTTTGAGGGCAAAGAGGAAAGTTGTTCAGTGTGGTGTCAGCTACGTGGTAAATTCAGTGCTCATGAAATTTCTCTGCAACCCAGCCTGGCCTCAAGCTTGCTATGTAGCTGAGGACAGCCTTGAACTCCTGATCCTCCCGCCCTCATTTCCTGAGTGTTGGGATTACAGGTATTCACCACAATAACTGGCCAGATTAACTATTTTTATTGGTTATTTGATATTACTTATGCTGCATCTCATGTCAGGTTTGGACTAAGCAACATCATTCTCCCTTCTAGCTGCATAGTAAAAGTTTTTAATCCCAATTTATCAAGTCACCTTTTGCCTACTAAAACGTTTATGAATTATCAGCTAAATTTGGAGTCATCTTTTGGACCATTTTACTTTATGTGTCTGAATGTTTTGCAAGCATGCATGATTGTGTAGCACATGTGTGAACTAGATTACAGATGGCTGGAAGTCATCATGTGGGACTCTAACCCAGGTTTGCAAGAGCCCCAAATGCTCCCAAGCAGTAAGCTGCTTCCCCAGCCTGTGGGGTCATTTCTTGAAGGAACTTTAGTTAGTATTTTACCTTAGCTCCCATTGAAGTGTTTTATACTATTATTGTTATTTTCATTTTTAGGAACGGTTTTTCTTGGAGCCTAAGCTGGATCTGAACTCCAGATCCTCCTGCCTCAGACTCCTGGGTGCCTGTATTTCAGGAGTGTTCCACCAGTTGACATAAACAGGGTTCCAGAGAGATGTAAGAATCTTTCATTGATGCTGGACTGTGGTGGCACTCGGGAGACAGAGGCAGAGGCAGGTGGATCTCTGTGAGTTCGAGGCCAGCCTGGTCTACAAGTGAGTTCCAGGACAGCCAGGGATGTTCCACAGAGAAACCCTGCCTTGAACCATCCCCCATAATCTTCCATCAATGTAGTGAGACTTGGAGTGAATGAAATTTTGCTTCTTCCTTAGATTGGGGTTACCTAGTTCTGAGAAATAGGCATTAGGTAAACTGTATTCCAATAAGGAATTTTCCGTTTGGAGTGTGGGCACACACACACACACACACACACACACACACACACACACACACACACACACCTGACAGATTGTGAGATCAAGGCCAGACTAGGCTACTTGATGAGACCCTGTTTCAAAACAAAAATGAAAACAAATATCAATAAATAGCAGAAACAAAACTAAAAAGGACTTCTTATGTTCAGGTTAACTTAATTGTTATTAATAAGATTTTCATATTAAAAAAGAAAATAAGCTTGTCTAGCATGCATGAAGCCTTGGGTTCAATTTCTAACACAGCCTAAAACACACAGGTGGCACACACATTAATCCTGGCATGTGGGGGATGGAGGCAGGAAGATCAGACGTTCAAGGGTATCCCCAGCTACAACCAGTGATGTGAAAGTCCTTTTTAGGAGCCTCTAAGTGCATCTTTGAGAAACTATTACTTAAGTTCATTAATTCACTTGTTCCCTCTTCCCTCCCTTGATCTCTTCTTCCCTGATTTTTCAGTGTGTAGATAGGCTGGCCTTGATCTCATAGTCTTGAATTCACCTCTCACGTGCTGGATTATAGACCAGTTCCACTCTTGGCCCTTGATGGACTGGCAGACTGTGCTCAGCGTAGAACCCAAGGTCTCACACATGCGAGGCAAGTTGTGTGCCACTGAGTCGCCTCTCGGTGCTTTTCCCGGTTGATTCTTTTTCCTTTTTCTATTGTCCTCCTGTCCTGTGATATATGTTCCTTGTCCGTATATTCTGGATCTATTCCCTTATCATCTTGTGATTTACACCGCTCTCTTTGGGACCATTTTCTTTCAAACCACCACACCAAAGAAATTGGCTACATCTCATTTAGTTTATGTCTGTGCTATTGATTCTGTGTTACTGGCTTATTTGGATATGTTGGCATTTGTATGTTGGTAGCATATTCTTTTAAATAAATATAAATGTGGTGCTGATGATTGAATTCAGGTTCCCACATACATCAGGCCAACCTACCCCTGAGCTACCCCCTCAGTTGCGTACTATTACAGGCTTTGAGGTGAGTTTTGAATCCAGGAAGTGTATCCTCTAAATTTATTTTCTTCTTTCAGTGTTGTTTCAGATATTCAGGGCCATTTGTTTTTCTGTATGGATCTTCTGTGTCTGCTTTTCCTGCTGGAAACAGGCCCTTGGAAGTTTGATAGGATTTGCCTTAGCCATACATATAGCATGAGTTTCTCTGGAGGGTATTGCCACATTTTTTCTTTCCTTTTTTCTTTTTTTTTTTAAATTTAAGTTAGAAACAAGCTTGCTTCACATGTCAATCCCAACTCCCTCTCCCCCCCCCCACTATGTCCCCCAGTTCTCCACCCAATCTCCATTCCAATCCCCAGGGAGGGTGAGGCCCTCCATGGTGGATCTCCAGAGTCTGTTATTTCATCCAGGGCAGGGCCTAGGCCCTCCCACAAGAGCCCAGGATGAGAGAACATCCCTCATTGTGGGATGGGCACTCAAAGTCCATTTGTATGCCAGGGATGAATACTACTCAGGGCCCCATAGATTACTTAGGTCTCCTCACTGACACCCACATTTAGGGGATCTGGATCAGTCCCATGCTTTCCACACAGCCATCAGTCTGGGGTATTGTCATTTTTACAATCTTAGTTGTGTTGAAATTTAAGAAAAGCAGCGTGTGTGAGAGAGAAAGACACCATGTGACAGGGTTCTAGCAGAGTCGTTTTTTTTTTTTATTAGGGGAAAAGGATCTTAAAAGAGGGGAAGGGGAGTGGGGAGATAGACCTCTGGAGACAGAGGCAGCAAGAGAGAGGAAAGAGGGGTGGAGAGAGAGAGGGAGAAAGAAAGAAAAGTGAGTGAGAGAGAAAGAGGAGGATGGGAGGTGGGCAGGACCCTTTTAAAAGGGAACATAGTGAATATGCACTTAGTGGCTGCAGCTGAGGTGTATCCTGTCAGAACCCCAAGGACAGGCTGGTATAGATGCCTGAATACTAACAAGTTATTTCTTCTAGTAATGTTTATAGTTTTCAATGCAAAATCTTCTTTGCATTGGTTAGGCTTATTTCTGTATTTTTATTCTTTTGGATGCTATTGCAAATGGAGTTTCTTGTTTTCTTTTGGATTTTCCATTGCTGCTGCACAAAATCACAGCTTTTTGTGTGTTGATCTTGTACCCTGATAGCTTGCTAGTTCTCACAGATTTTCTCTCTATATATATAGAATCATGTGACTTGTGAACACTCAACTTTTTACTCTCCCCCTAATTTGGATGTCTTCTGGGAACAAATAAGGATGACTGTGTCCACCAGTGCTAGTCAACAATTTACTGAAAGTAATTGATTCTGCAGCAAAGTGCCATCTATTCTAATTTGTCAACTGAAGCCAGTGATTCAAAACAGAATATTCCTAGGTGGTGATGTAGAAATAGTATGATATGG